GCCCAGACTGGCTTTCAACTTGCTGGCAGATAAAGATGAGCTTGAATTTCTGACCCTATGCCTCCATTTCCAAAGTGCTGAGATTATAGGCATGTGCCACCCTGATTTGTACAATGCTAGGGATTGAATTCAAGGCCTTGTGGATGCTAAGCCATCACTCAACTAACTGAGTTACATCCCAAGCCCATTAGATTGAATTTCTGACCCTATGCCTCCATTTCCAAAGTGCTGAGATTACAGGCATGTGCCACCCTGATTTGTACAATGCTAGGGATTGAATTCAAGGCCTTGTGGATGCTAAGCCATCACTCAACTAACTGCGTTACATCCCAAGCCCATTAGACTTTCTCCACCTTGCAATTTTTACTTAATAACAAGTTATTAATAACTTAATGTCCCAGAATTTCTCCATAGTACTATGTATGATCATTTCTTGGTACTGCTGAAAAATATCTCATTTACAAACCTAACACAATTATTCAACTAGTACCCTAACGACAGACATTTGAGTTTTCTTCTTTTTGCTGTTTCAAATAATATCACCATGAACCTTTATGCACAGACTTTTTATATTTTTGCTACTAGATCTTTAGCATAGGCCCCGAAAAACAGAATTGCTGGATCAATTCTTCTAGCTATTTCCAAATTCTGTCCCATGGTATTGTAGTATCTTCGCCAGTGATCTGTTTGAATATACACCGGAGTCAAAAACCCCAGCAGTAAACACCAGCTCTTAAGCTGTTGTGGTGGTTCACACTTGTAATCCTAGCACTGGAGAAGCTGAGGCAGGGGGATCAAAAATTCCAGGCTAGCTTGGACGAGAGTCTGACTATAAATAAATAAATAAATAAATAAATAAATAAATAAATAAATAAATAAGCTATTGGTATTTTTAGAAGACAATAATTATTCTGGTGGTCCAACAGGAACTATGCATTATATGGCTTACGTTTTCGCCTAAGCAGAAATGCTAATAGGAGAGGGAGGAAGGGAGAAAGACCTATAGGAGAGGGGGGAATCTAGGGTAGGGATGAGTGTACCAAAAACATTTGGCTTTCAAGGATGGAAAATCTGAAAATTCCCTGTCTTCTACCTGCCCCAATTCTAATAATCCTGGCAGCTCCCCAGGAGCACAAAGTCACAAAAAGTAGAGTCAAATCCAGAGTCCCAAAAAAGTAGGGGAACACAGAGGGTTCTGAAAAAGGAAAAAAAAAGGAGGAAAGAAAGGGGCAGGGGATCGCCTGCATTCAAGCCGCAACTACACTGTATTCACAGAAAAATCTTAGATTCAACATTCTTTCAAGCTTCAGTCTTCTTTGTTAAACATGGAATTCAATCTCTGCCTCTCCCATCTTTTAAGCTTTACAATACAGTTAGGAGAGTACCTATAGCAATCCCCTGGGAACAGAAAGTACTCTATGGCAAGTACCAAAGGGATTTGTACTGACCAAGCTGTACTTGAATTCTCGTTGCCCACTTCCTAGCTGACAGTTCTCCTTTATAACATAACGATAACACTGCTTTCACAGGGTTAATTTCAGAAGCTATCATCAATGCATGTTAAATGATGGCACAGTACCTGACAAAAGACAAAAAACAGTTTAATAGTACTGTCACAAGTAAATTATTGTTTGCTCTGTAACTTTTGTTAAATATATGTTAGTATATTCTTTGCATGATCATGGAGAAAATTACAAAAGAATAAGCAAATTAATAACACTAGTTATCTTGGAGGATAAGGTTGGGGAAGAGAATGATCACAATCTTTTCCTTCGTACACCTCTAGGTTGCTTGGCTTCAGCTTTAATGAAAAAACCCAAGACAGGTGAGGTGGCACACACCTTTAGACCCAGCACTCAGGAGGCAGGGGCAGGTGGATTTCAGGCCAGCCTGGTTTATATACCAAGTTCCAGGCCAGCGGGGGCTACATAGTGAGAGTCTGTCTTCAAAGAAAAGAAAAAGAAAATTCCAGCAATTTACCTCTGCTGAGAAATGTGAGGAGGCAATCAATGATGCACACTCATAGATACTGATAATCTGATATCCTGACAAAGAATTCTGAATCAATAGCAATATGCACATGGGTGTTCATCTATTCTATTACTCATACAAAGAGTCAGCAAAATCTTTCTGCAAGAAGCAGACTGTAAATATGGTTCAGAGTTTGCAGGCCATATAATCTGTTGCAATTACTTGTACTGCTATGCACAAAAGCCACACAGGCAATACAGAAAACAAGTAAGCATGGCTGTGTTCCAGTAAGACTCTTAACAGGCCGCAAGCTGGTGGGCCACAGCTGCAAATCCCTGCTTTATATAATACCTTTGTTTATGCAAGGCATACTCTATATGTGTGTGGGGGGGCAGTTTTAAAAGATCAAACACATACTGCAAAGTGCTATCAAATCTATTTCCTAGAGCCAGGTTTGGTGGCACAAACCTGTAATGCCACCTACTCAGAAGGCCAAGGTTAGGAGGGTGGCATGTTCGGGGCCACCTGGAATAACATAGTAAGATTTCATATCAAAAAGGAAAAAAAGAAGTCTGTTCCCTAAAAACAATTCAACATAGTCAGGTGTGGTGCTCCTTTAACCCCAGGACTTGGGGAGGGGGAGGCAGGTGGATCTCTGTGAGATCAAGGCCAGCCTGGTTACCATAGTGAGTTTCAGGCCAGCCAGGGCTTCAGGGAGACCCTGTCTCAATAAAACCAAAAAGAGGCTGGAGAGATGGCTCAGCAGTTAAGAGCACTGGCTGTTCTTGCAGTATCCACATGGCAGCTAACAACTGTAATTCTAGTTCCAGGGAATCTGACACCCTATTCTGACCTCCGAGGGCATTGCACAACATGGGTGCACCTACCTACATGCAAGCAATACACTCATACACATTAAATAAAAATAATAAAATATTAAAAACAAAAAGACCAAAAAAAGAAAATCAAACACAATGTATTTGAAAAAACAAAAATTAGCATAAAACAATTCAAGCTTAAATCTGTAGTCCAAATCAACATCTTAGAGACAGAACTTTCTTTCAAAACTTACCGAAAAAAACATTCTTATTCAGTTCTCTCTCCTGCCCTCATCCAGCATGTACTAAAATATTCACATTGCACTTTTGTGTCTTTGCCTATCAAGAAGGGAAAATATAGACATCAGCCCTCTAGTTTCTTTTTAAGCACCTGCCCAACCCTATTCTCATTTTTTCAATGTTCCAACTCCCTCCTCTCTAAAATAATGAATTTAAGGTAGAAAGAGAAGAGAAAGGATGGAAATTTACAAGAAAGAGACCATGACTGATGATTGTTACCAAGAAAACATTTTTCCCATTTTGCTCTTAATAGACTGTAAAGTTGATAAAATTAAATTATAACTATAGCAACTCAGTTGGCATGCACTGGTTCTGGCTCTTGCAGTATCCTTGCACACAGCAGAGCCCGCCTGCTTCAAACCAAGAGTAACTGTAGGCAGCCAGGAGCAGAAGTATGGACTGTGTAGGGAAAGGAAATTAGCAGAAATGTCTAAAGGCTGGTTGGGTGTTGGGGATCAGTGTAGGAGAAAAGGTGGCTACATTTTGCTATAAGGCTGGCTTGTTAAAATAAAAAGTGCCAGGGTTCATCTGACCTGCCTTTACTAATGTCAACAGAATCAAAAGTAGTATTAAAAAATAAATAACACTCTATGGAAGCCTACAGAATTTCCAGCACATCCTACTGACTCCACAAAGCAACTACACACTCAGTTCTCAAGATTAGTTAGAAAAGGACTGCAGCCTCCATACTGCTTTGACATTTACCAAGAATCTAAAACTGACAGTGTCCCACATTAACACCAGCATGTGTTTCTCAAGTTCAAAGAATTACTAGACAGACATTTCGCTGAAGAACTGCACAGAATCTCAGTGATTTTCTAGGCCCACCAAAGCTCAGTAGCAGCTCCTGCTTCACCGCCCCCACCCCCACTCCCCAGTGCCCTTCTAGAACTACAGGAGCAGGAGCTGTCTGGTGTTAGCCTCACTGGTTTTAAATCCTCGCCCACCACTCAGCTGCTGTATGATCCCAGAATGACCTGGCCTCTCTGAGCCTCTGTTGCTCAAGTACAACATAGGGATCACAGTCCTAATATTGGCTGTGCCGTACAACCTTAGGTCTAAGCAAGTTTCTGACACACAGTAAACACCAAACAAATCACATTCCTTAAAGAAAGCAGCTTGGGTTTTTGTTTGTTCCTGCTCTAGTCCCCAAATTAGAAGCATTTGAAGGCAAGGGCCACATCCAATTCATGATTTTATCTCAAGATGTGGCCCAGGCTGGGTCCTCTAGACAGCCTTGTGGAACCCACAACTCTGTGAACGCTATTTGACTCTGTTAGGCAGCACTTTTCCCTGGAGCCTCATTCTCCTGGGGCTCACTATCTTCTTGTTCTGCAATCAGGTCTCATTCTCCTGGGGCTCACCATCTTCCTGTTCTGCAATCAGCTGGGAGGCACTGTATTTCAAGGCCTTTCAGAGGTAGCCTTGGGGTCACATAGGCAACATACAGGCAGAATCACTCCTCACTTGGTTGGGTTCTCGTCACTGACCACTCATCAATTTTTTCCAATTACCCTTAAACACTCTTGTTCATGGCTGAGTGCTTTCTGGCTTTGGGTAGCACTTATGTGCATGGCCCATATCTACTAACATACTTAGAGAGCCATTTCTGACTCAATTGTCCACAAACCCCAGCAGAATCTAGTGTGAGCTCCTCCACCATCTCCCACCCTCCCATCTCTGCCTATGTATGCAAGTTCTCAGCTTGGTCAGGCAGACAGGCCAGAAAATCCTGAAAACCCAGAGGCATAAAAACTAAGAAAGGCTTGCTGACCTGTTTATGAAACTCTCGGGGTCCCTGAGCCTGGCCTGTGACTGCCATTCACAGACTGCATCCAAATTCAAGGCAGAGGAAACAGATCCTGCCCTTGAACTACCCAGTCCCAACAGTGCTGCCCCACCAGTACTCACGCCTTGACATCTGCTGTCTCCTGGGATGTATGTGTGAGGGTACGGGAACGCAGATGCTCTCCTGCCTGCTGGATCTCCTGTAAGTTCCGCTCCACAGGAGGAAGCTCGGAGATGCCCTCAGTCTCAGCGGCAAGCTGTTCAGCTTGCTGAAGAAGCTCACCAAACCCCTTGGTGTCCATTGGAGATGTAGATTCTAAATGGGAGGAAAAGAAAGAGAGCTAAGTCAAGGGGGAAAGAGGCCTCCATCACTGCCTCAAGCTGGTACAAGCTTAATAAAACCCCAGAACTTTTTGTAAACAGAAAGGCAGACAGCTCATCAACAAGCAGGATTTGTTCCTGAACATAGCCCAAGAACAGGCTTGACAGAGAAAATGAGTCAGACTGTGAACAGATCATTGCTGTGCATATTGACTGGGCCAAGACTGATTTTTACCACCAGAACAAATGCAAGGATATTAAGTCACAGGCTAGAATTCCTGCCTCCTTCTGCAGACTCAAAACAGATAAGGAAACGGAAGCAGCTGTGGTTGTTTCTGGGGTGCCTATAGAACAATCCCTCTACACCTCCAACTCCTCCTTTGTCTTAGGGGAGGAGGACACTACCACGCCATCTAAATAGTGCCACAATTTAGAAGGCATGACCTCACAGGAGCCTTATCTCACAGGAGCCTCATGATAACTCCAGTCCATGAAAGCTCAGTTATGTACCCAGCATATGCCCTTGCAGTGATAGTGCTGAACTAAAACCAGAATGCAGGCATCTTCTAAGCTCAGCCTCGTCATTCTAACACAACTGTCTTCACTAATGACATTCTTTTTTAGTCATACCCCATCTCCATCCCATATTCTTTTTAATGTTATTGAAGAGAGATACCCATGTTTACTTATTAAGTAAAAATTCAAGACCCTGACTTGTTACTATACCTATGACTACCAGTTACACTAACACAAACAACACCTAACTTGTATACCATGAACATTATTAACAAGACAACCTGTTTCTCTAACAACTGAAAAAAGTTCCATGAACAGCACTATTTGGTCTAGGGACATAGCTCAGCGGGTGGGGCACTTGCCCTCAAGCCTGATGACCTGGGTTTGATCCCAGGGCTCACATGGTGGAAGGAGAGAACCAACTCCAAAAAAAAAAAAACTGTCCTCTGACATGCATATGCTTCAGCACCCCTCCCCTACAAACACAAAATAAAAAAAATGTGGAAAAGAAGTAGTGTTGAGCTGGAAAGATGGCTCAGCAGCTAAGAGGAGGTGTTCCAAGCATTTACATCTGGTGGTTCGAAACTGTCTGTGACTCCAGCTTCAGAAGATCAGACACCTCTGACCTTCCTGAGCACCCGCACACACATGCACATATCCATACACACAGGCTCACATACACATAATTAAAAATAACATAAAGCAGACCAGGCGAGGTGGTACAAATCTTTAATCCCAGCACTCAGGAGGCAGACAGGTAGATCTCTGGCCAGCCAGTGCTACATAGTGAGCTCCAAGCCAGTCAATGCTACACAGTGAGGCTTTGTCCCAAAAAAACAGAAACAAAAAACAAAATGAACTGCTATTTAGTAGCTAGTGCACATTTATGAACCTTATGTATAATGTACCATCCTTATAAAAGATTACTGATCAAGAGAATATTTTTTAATGTATTGCCATCTTTAAAAAAATTATGGGGCTTGAGAGATGGCTTAGTAGCTAAGAGTACTTGCTGCTCTTCCAAAGGACCTGAGTTCAGTTGTCAAGCACCCATGTTGGGTGGCTCACAACCATCTGGTAACTCCAGTTCCAAGGAAGCTAATGCCCTCTTCTGGAATCTTCTAGCACCTGCACACACATGGCATGCATACAAATACACAAATAAATAAATAATAAATATCTTTAAAAATTACAATGCTAAAAGATTAGAAACAAGTTTTATTTATTAGAAAGAAAAAGACTGGCAGAGGTGATTATACATACTGTAGTTTATACCTGCAATGTCAGTACTCACGAGGCTTACCCCAAGTTGGGGCCAGCCTAGGCTACATAGTGACTTCTAGGCCCGCCTGAGATACAGTGCAAGAAAAAAAAGGGCAGAAGATTCCTTATAAACATCTTGTTACTTATTCTTTCCTTCTTTGTTTTAAGTCCACAGTTTATTGTACCTATGAAATCTCACTGGTTTAGCTCTACAGTTATAATGCTAATGTAATATGTAATTAGAGCTCTGCTATGAAGTACACGTTAATGTTAAAAAGGACACCATTACCACTATAAATCCACAGCTGGAAGATAAAGACTTTTGGAAGTGAGCATTAAAGGATATTAACTTTAAAAGAAGGGCACAAAGTTCAAACAAAAACAGTTCCATTCAGAGTAAACATGGAAATACTTTGGAATTCTTTGTGAAGTTCTAAGCTGACTTTAATGTTTAACCAAAATTCATATACACTGTAACTCTTAAAACGAGAGTTCCAGGGCTGGAGAATTAACTCAATGGTTAATAGCACTGGCTGTTCTTACAAAGAACCTGGGTTCAGTTCCTAGCACCCACATGGCAGCTAACAATTGTCCTTACCTCCAGTTCTAGAGATCCATCCAGTGCACCCAGCTGCCCTTTAATATTCTTACTAGTGACCTCAATCTTAGTCTCTTACAATATTCCTGCTCGTTATATCAAATGTCTATACATTTGTTTCTGGTATCATTACCTCATTGGCGTCTTTCCTTTTGCTTGTAAAGCATCAGTCACAAACTGAATACGTCTTTTCACTTCCAGGGGCTGGTGGCAAGTCCCACCTTGGGGATCCATTGAATTCTTTAAAGACCACTGGATAGGGCACAGTGAATGCATGCCTGCAATCCCAGTATTTGGGAGGTGAAGGCAGGAAGATGAGGTCAAGGCCAGCCTTGGCTATTGACTATCAACTTGAAAGGATACAGAACCACCTAGGACACAAGTCTCTGTGCACACTTGTGAGAACTCATCTAGATTAGGTTAATCAAGGTGGGAAGCATCAATCCAAATATGGGTGCTACCATTCCATGGGCTGGGAACCTGAGCTAAATAAAAATAAGAAAACTAGCTGAGTCCAAGTATTCGCTGGTCTCTGCTTCCTGATGATGGCTGCAATGTGACCAGCCATCTCAAGTTCCTGCCATCATGATTTTCCCACCAGTGTAGACTGTACCCTCAAACTAAAATAAACACTCTCTCCCTTAAGCTGCTTTTGTCAGGGTATTTTAACACAGCAACAGGAAAAATAACACAGCTACACTGTAAGCTTGAGACCAGCCTGGGCTACATGAGACCATCTTTAAAAAGCCAAAGCAACCATTGAGACATTCCAGAAATGGTTACTACTCACTAGTTCTCCTCATTCAAGCCTCTGTTTCTCCAGAATACACTCCTTAAGATCAAGAGCCTTCAGAACCTCAAACTGAAAAGAAACAAAGGGAAACATAACATGAAAGGTCTCAGAACCAGCTATTGTCAGCTGGTCTACCAAACCTTTGGTGAACTTCTAGTCTCCTGTGGGCAAAAGTCAGAAAACTTTCTGCAAAGGGACATGTGATGACTACTTTAGGCTTTGCAGGGCAGCCTGGCCCAATTCCTCAACCTTGCACTGTAGCCTGACAGCAGTCATATGTAACATGCAAGCAAATAAGCATGTCTACCATCAAATAAAACTTTAATCGTGCATGCCTTAACTTGAATTTCATATAATTTTCCTTTGGGGATTTTTTTTTTCTTTTCTCTCTCTCTTTTTTTTTTCTTTTGAGACAGTCTCCCTGTAGTACCCAGCTGGCCTAGAACTCGCTATGGAGACCAGCCTGGTCTTGAACTCACAGAGATCCACCTGCCTCTGCTGCCCGAGTGCTGGGATTAAAGGCATGCACCACCACACCCAGCTCCTTTTTGAATTTTTTTCAAGGATTTAAAGAAAAACCCTTCAGAGCTTTTGCCAATCCCTGGTAGGTATCTGAGCTGCACATGGTCAGTCTTGGCTTGATGCTTACTAAACACCCGACAAAGTTACTCACTAGGCTTTAGCAGGGCAATTACAAATATCAAATGAGGGATGGGGGTGGAACTTAGTGGTAGAGTGCTTGCTAGCACATACAAGGTCCTGGGTTTGATCAGTAGCAGGAAAAAAAAGGATTAAATATGAAATGAGTGACCTAACAAGACTGGTTGCCATTTCCCTCCAAGAGTACATATAGGACAAGAAAACTATTGTGTATATGATGAAGTCTGTCCTTTAAATATTGCTCTGCCCTAATACACAGGATGTTGGGGGGAACTCACTGCCCTTTTCAAGTACAACCCAATAGAGTAAACCTATTTGAATGCTCCCTTTGCTTTATCATCAAGATCAAACTGCCCAGTTAGACAAGAAACACAAAGGGCTGAGAAAGGAGAAAGAACACAGGCAGAGCCATCTGTCTCCTCAGTGTTACAGGAATCTGTCTCAGTTCAATGACTTGCACAGGAGATGACATCAAGTACTTTCCCCTGCAGAACGTCAACAGATGCTGATTTGACAGTTTTTCTAACTTCTGAAATCAATAAGCATTCAGTAGGAATAATATCCTCAGGGTAGCAACATGAGATACTACATACATCAAAATGCTGGTCAGCCACAGTCACAAAGGGAAACAACAGAAACCCCAT